AGCAGCTTCTACCCCTGTGTGGGTCTTCTCTCCCAGCAAAAGTCACTACTTTTGTTTAGTGGAGGGAATGATGAAGCTGTTGAGATAGCTCTGTTTTCTAAAGTTTATCTAAAGTCCTATGTGACCCCTGACATGGCCAGAGCTTCAGTTTGGTTCACATCTCCATCTCAGAACTCTAACCTGGTCTAGATTCATGATTCCCAGTGTCCAGAACAACCCCAAAGGCAGGTCAGATTTGAACTCCCCCACCATCATATGATACTTAGAATTACCTGCACTTATTTGTGTATAGACTCATTCTGTCCTGTCTTAGTTACCTTCCTTGATCGACTGAGGCAACTTAGAGGAGGGAGGGTTGATTTGGGCTTGAGTTTCAGAGGGATAAGGGTCCATCACCATCACTATGGAGAAGCATGGTAGCAGGCAGGCATGATGGCTGGAGCAGCAAGCTGAGAGTTAAAAGCTTAAACCACAAGGAGAGAGAGAGAGAGCGAGAGAGAGAGAGAGAGAGAGAGAGAGAGAGGGAGGGAGAGAGACAGAGGGAGAGAGATGAGATCTCAGAATGCCACGTGGCTTTTAAACCTTAAAACCATACCTAGTGACATACATATTTCTTCCAGCAAGACCAAATCTCCTACACCCACCCAAACAGTGCCACCAACTGCAGACCAAGCATCTGAGCCTAAGGGGGGCATTCTGATTCAAAACAGCACATGTCCTAAGTCTCCATGTTAGAAAACTCTACAAATTGCACGCTGACAGACAGGCTTCCATGTCAGCAACTGGGAGACTATCCACAGTACTCAAGAAACAAGCAGGCAGGTCTGATTTGTGAGAATTTAGAGTGTGTAACACTTAGTCAAGACACGGCTCTCTTTCCTGTGCTTATGAACAAGAGATTCTGGTCTGGAAGGTCTGCACTGAGACTTCGTCATCTTGAGAGCCATCATAAAGTCTCCTCTGTGCCCCGGGACACAGGACCAGTGAGTCAGGGTGCGTGCTGACTCCTGCAAGCCTGGATCTACCATTGTCATGAGTGAGGCTTACATGCACTGTTGTTGTCATGGAGATGAGTGTATGAAGTCATAGCCTGACATACATATAAACACGTGAACTGCAAATCCATCCATACACATGTGCTCGCAAATATTGATATGAGCATCACAAGCACATGAATACGCGTGTACTTACATTCACGGTGTGGCACATACACATGTATTTTAGTCATGTATTTAGCTCCTGTGCCCAAGCTGTCCTGATGCCTTCACTTTCCATTTTCCCACATTTTCTAACCCTCCCAGATCCTCCCCACCTTCCCACCCACCCAACTCCACACCCTTTCTTTCTCTCTCTTTAGAAAACAATCAGGATAAAAAAGAAAAACTGCAAGAAACATACAGACCCATAAAAATAAAACCCATTAAAAACACAAGGTCAGATCATTCTTGAAGCAGTCACTGACTAATCTATTAATTGGACATCTTGGCTCTGCTCCCTCCTCCCCTAACAACCCCATTCCTTCTGTAACGATCGCAGCTTTCTCCTCAATACCTCCTTATGCTCGATAGGCCTCTGTACTTCTCAGTGGTCCTTGGGAACACAGATTGGGGTCAATAGGGTGCCTCTGAGAAGGGGCAAGCTTCTCAGCTCAGAGGCTGCATTCGAAGAGTATTTGAACCCATATGGGCCCGTCCTCGCCACATAAATAACTTCAGACCGTGGTCTTCATTCCCAGGTGAGAAATCAATAGATGAAATATGAATATTTTAGCAATCATTCTCTGTAAAGCGATCCCAGCCTTCATTTCCCATAGACCTATTGGATGGTCCATATTTCAGTGCCTTTATTAGTTTGGGGGAGGCTAAAAAAACAACAACCAACAAACAAAACGAAACAAAAACAAAAGCAAGAGGGTGAGGAGGGAGCTTGGCCAGTAAAACACTTACCGCAATAGATCAAGGACCTGCATTCCACCCCAGGACCCAGGTGGAAAAGCCAGGCACATCCTTGTCATGGCAGCACTGGGGATGTGGACAGAGCTGCCTGTGGCTCACTAGCCAGGTACCCTTGCATACACAGCACACACCAGGTCAGTAAAAGACCCCACATGAGAGCAAGGTGAATGTCGCCTGAGGACTGACACCCAAGGTTGGCCTCCACACACACGTACACATGCACCTGCAAGCATGTGTTCAACACACACACAGTGGGAGAAAGAATCCAAAACAAAAACTTTGCGATTTTGATAGATCACATTCTGTCACTGTGCTTCAGATTGTCTTTTTTCTTTCTTTTGTTTTTTTAATTGACATTTGTTTTTTATTTTATGTTGAGGGTGCTGTATATGCACATTAGTGCTGTAGTCTAGGAGGCTGGAGGCCAGAGGGCTAGGATCCCCTGGAGGTGAAATTACAGGCAGTTGTGAGTTGTCATACAAGGGCTGGGAATCAAACTTGAGTCCTCTGGAAGAGTGCTCTTAACTGCTGAGCTGTCTCTCCAGCCCCTATGCTTTGAATTTCTAATTCTAAGATTATGAATAACATTGAACACATTTTATCTTCACTGCCCTTTCATACTTCTTCTGTGATCTAAATTTAGACTGGCTACACTTATTTCTCCTTCAGTATAACCCCTTGTCCTAACGTTCATGAAGGGATCATCTGTTCTATCAGTATCAGGCAATCACATTGTAGAATGAACAATGCAGCTGGAACGATGCTGGACAATTGTCTTAAATAAGACAATAGAGTTGGAAACAGTGGCACACACGTGTAATCCTAGCTATGCAGGAGGCTGAGACAGGAGGATCACGGAATTAAGCCCGGACTGAGCTACAAAATGAGTTCAGGTCCACCCTGGAAAAATTTTCAAGTCTAAAATGAATGAATGAATGAAATAGCTTGGATATAGCTCAGTGGTGGAGTACTTCCCTTGTATGCGTGAAGCCCTAAGTTACTATACAGTAACTTCCCCCACAAAAGAAGTAAAGCATGATGGATAACTGTAAGCTGCCTGAGAGTGCAGCCCGGCTTCCCCTCTACCTGCTCCGTGAGGTTAGGCACATGGCTTAACCTCTTGGAGCCTCAATACCCTTGTCAGTTAGATACAGATAAAAATGAATCTGTGTAATAGAGCTGTGTTAAGAATTAAAAGCCAAGCACATGACTTAGCTTCCGGCACATGGCACTTTAAAAACTACAATTATTTTTAGTAATTCTTTGACAATTTCATACAATGTATTTTGACTACAGTCACTCCCACTTCTCCTCATAACTCCTCCCAGAACCACCCCCTCACCCCCCACCTCCTCCCAACTTTACACATGCTTGTGTGCGCTCTCTCTTCTCCCTCACTCTCTCTCACTCACTCAACAACACCAAGTCCAATTTGCACTGCCGTATGTTCATGGATGTAAGCTATAGGCTGGAGCGTGGTTGACCTACCAGGGGCCACACCTTAGAGAAAACAGACTCTCTCTCTTTCTCAGAAACCATCAGCTGTCACTAACTTCTCAGTTGAGGTGGGGGGGGGGCTGTGAGCCCCTTCCTCCCTTCCTGGCATGTTGCCTAGCTTGGTCTTGTGCAGGCGACCACAGCTGCCGTGAGTTCATGAGTCCAGAAGACACTGCTTTGCTCGAGTTCCCCCTGAATTCTGGCTCTTAGGATCTCTCCATCCTTCTTCCACAACGTGATGGTGTAAACGTCCCATTTGTGGCGGAGCACTCTGCCTGTACTCTGGTTAGTCACACAACACTTCTTAATGGTTAAGTATGACTGCAGCTACTAGGGCCATTGAAATGGTCACTTAGGAACTTCATTGCCCTTCTCTGAATTTCTTCCCTTGTTCTCCAGGAACCTTCTGGAAGACATTAGATGTGATCATAAAGAAACCCAGCAGTTATCAAAGAATTGTCTCATAATGGATAGAAAACGTAGCACACTGCCTCTCCTTTCCTTCCTTTCCTGAGAAAGGTTACCTCACCTGCTTCCTTCCATTGACCTGCTTCTTTGGATCACAGAAAGCATACACTGAAGAGAATCCTGAAAAAGCTCTTGAATTACTCTAGCTATACCAAATATTGGTATTGGTTAAGAGAGTTTATGATTCTACAACATTTTATCCCATTTTGCCTCTTCTAATGATCTTCTAGTTGGGGATTGATTTGAGGAATATATGTCACATATTGTATGTATGTTTGCATGTCTATGGTGAGGAGTATATTTTAGAGAGAATCCTAATATCAAATAGGTTTGTTAAATTTCTCACAGAAGCATGTTGGATAAGTTACATGGTGCCCGTGTGGATAAGGAGGCTATGAAGGCGTATGTGTGGGTCTTTGACTTCACCACCATCATAATGTAAAGGGTTATCTTAGAGAGCTAGCATCCCATGGAACATTTTCCCAGAAATGTTGCCTTGTAGAAAATGGAAAAGATTCCCAAGAGCCAGGCAACTGAGAAGGCTTTTTTTTTCCTTTTAAAGGCCAGAGTTTTGGTGACTTTATTAAAGAAAGAGTATTTAAATTTGTATAAGATGTTTTATACACACACACACACACACACTTATGATCACACACACACACACACACACACACACACACACACACATACACCAAATGGGATGGTTTATGTTGCCAATGAAAGAAGCATATTTTAAATACTTTATAAAAAAAAAAGAATTCAATATTCTGCCATCATCCCACCCTATATAAATCTCCAATGAGGTACTCATTTGGGCTATTTCATCGAAGAAGAGACTTCCTGAGTTTGTCCAAGACAGGCAGTGATTGCAGTGGGCAGAAGTAATGGGCCATTGGTAACACCCTCCTCCCGTGAGCTCTTGATGGTGACCTTGGTGACAGCCAGCTCTTCCCTGAGTCTTCTCATGTCTCCCACTTGAACAAGTGTAAATCTAACAATTCTAACTTCTCTTCTCTCTCCCTCCCTCCTTCCTTTTCCTTCTCCATTTCCCTGCCCCGTGTCTCCTCCCTTGTTCTCCAGGGACCTTCTGCATCATCTCACTGTGCACCTGTGTGGCTGGGATCAACTTTGAGTTATCACGTTACCCACGCTACCTATATGGACTCCCGGATGACATCAGCCACGGCTATGGATGGTCCATGTTCTGTGCATGGGGGGGCCTGGGCCTCACACTAATCTCGGGATTCTTCTGTACCTTGGCCCCCTCTGTCCAACCTGTCCCGAGGACCAACTGCCCTAAATCCAGACCAGAGAATGGGACAGTGTGCTAAAAATACAAACCCATACACACACACATACACACACACACATATATATATATAAATATATATATAATATACATATATAAAATGAAATTCAATCAAGACGATGCCAGTGCCAAGGTAGAGTTGAGTTGGCTCAGGCACCTGCATCTCATCAGACTTTGTGTTGCCTCATCTCCAAGATGGGAAACATGTTCCCATCCTGTGGCTCTCATCAGTTCTTGACTTTGGCTTCATGATTTCTTCAAGACAGAGTGAAAGCCACCACCTGCGGTAGCATCTTGATCCCTGTCGCTCATAAGGATGTGGCGGTGAACTGGAAGGGACAGAGGCAGTGGTCTGAAGCAACCCTGATACAGAGAAGGAAGTGTGTCACACTCTGGGCCAGCAGGAAAGGCCGCCACCGCCCCAGTCATCATATCATGGGGAAACTCGGTCCCTCGAGTTCATAGAATGTAACCACATCTCTGAGGCCATTTTCAGAACCGCTTCTCTGCTCTTCCTGTTCCGAGCTCCTTCCCAGCCCACCAGCAACACCAAGAGTGGGAGAGAAAACAGACTGAGAGGGAAGTTTTCTCTTTGTGGCCAAACCTTTGGACAATGGCTTAGAGGTGGGAAAGGGAAAGAGCATCAGCTAAAGGACATTTCTGTGGATGCTCAGAAAACCCAGTCTTACCTTCCAGCTGCCTTACACCGGTTAAATAAGAGGCCACCCTGTCCTCCCCTGCCTGTGCTCTCTGGGCAGATGGAGCTTTTGAGCAATGCTGTGATGTGTGTGTGTGTGTGTGTGTGTGTGTGTGTGTGTGTGTGTGTGTGTGTGTGTGTGAGCGTGTGTGCACGCGTGCATAGGTATTGTGGTTACCTTTTTCTTTCCCACTCTTTGAATGGAAATATCATCTTATTCTGTTCTCTCTCTCTCACTCACTATTACTGTTTTTGACCCATTATGGAGGCCCCAAGATCTGGGAATTGTCTTGAAGGACAGGCCTTCATGGGGGCCAATGCAGCAGCTGCAGATCCCTGGAGAGAGACGGAAGTGTGTGTGTATGTGTGTGTGTGTGTGTGTGTGTGTGTGTGTGTGTGTGTGTGTGTGTCTGCGTGTGCGCGTGCGCGTGCGTGCCCATACACACGCGTATGGGCATGCACATATGGTGGATATTTCCTGAGTGTGGGGGTTTATTGTTTGCGTTGCACTTTTTCTATTATCTCTGGTACAGCTGAAATTCCCAGAAGGCAAAACCAAGAACAAAACCACTGGGCCAGAGAACCCTGTGGCACTTCACAGTATGGTTCTGGAACTCCGCAAGGTTTAGTCCACTAATTTTGGAAGTTCAAGACACAGCTGGGCACAAAAGTCCTAAGAGAAAAGGGGGAACATACAGTTCAGGAGAGAGAAGGAATATTGCCTCTGGTTACTGATGTACAAGTACATATACCAAACAAGACCTTCACGCCCCATTGTGGGGACTGTCCTTTGTCACCGGACACCTGCTCCTTCTAGGGGTGAGCCCTGTACAGATGAAAGGAAATGGGTCACATGCAGAGAGAGCACCTCCATGTCCCATGGGCTCAAGTTTGTATGATATTATGTAAATTAATGGAGAACTCTCAACTCCTTCCATTCCTGTCCCTTTCCTCTTAATCTTCAAGGCCATGAATCCCAAAATAGCTGTCTATCTTAGTGGTTAGCACCCAAATGGAGTTACGACAAGCTCACCCAAGCATCTCAGGCTCACTTGACCAAATGGGCACTGGGTGCTAGTGAGCGAAGAAATCAGCCAGAGCTGTGAATGCCATATGGCAGGAGGGGCTCACGGTTACCTTGGGGACCCTGCTGTTGCCAAGTGTTCCTGGGGAGGCAAGAAGAGAGTCCTGTGCTGGTGCAGCCATGGTCAGCCATGCACAGTGGGCACTCACCCACTGTAGAACAGGTCTGCTTTAGGAACTTTGCGAACCACTCAGCAGCCTTCCTCCCCCAAGTGCTGTAGCTCCCTGTTCCCAACCTTTTTTCCTACCAGACTCCTCACCTACTAACAGTTTCCCTCCCCTTCTCCATCTGCGAGGCCACAGAGCCTCTTCGTCTCATCTGCCCTTTGACTCTCGTGCGTGTGTGTGTGTGTGTGTGTGTGTGTGTGTGTGTGTGTGTGTGTGTGTGTGTGCTTATATAGAGGTATGGATGCATTTCTCAAGACTCCCTCATCAGAGCCCTGGTCAGATCCTAAGGGAAGGTCTTATATGTGAATACCCTGGCTGTAGGAGTGCCAGGCAAGCAGGGCAAGCTGGGTGTTAGGGAATGCTGCAGGCTTCCATCTGAGATTCTAAGGGTTACTCTTAAGATAAACAGTATATTATTCTACGATAGGGGAAATAATTTTCAGGAAAAAAACCTCAGTTTTTTTTAATTGAGAATTTTCTTTTTTTCATTTCCTTTGGAAAGATAATTTTTTTCTCTCTCAAGGTGAAGGACACACTTGGGGCTGGAAAACAGAAGTATCTCAGATTGAGAGGTTTTTTTGTCTTCCTCCAGAGTACCTTGACCTGGGCAGGGACAAGCAGTTGTCCATGAACATCTACTTGAGGCACGGAACTTGTCTGTGATGGAATATTAATTCCGGCTGTTTTCCAGTTGCAAAAAGATGGAGGAAGCTAAGCTAGATGGGACAATTTGCTATTGATTATTTAAACTTTTCTTAAGTAAACTTGTTTGAACATAGGAGTTCACAGACCTCTCATATATGCCTTGTTTTTTTTAATTCATATTCATCATAAACAGATTATCTGCTCTATCCAATTGCCCAACTCTATGACAAACTTTTAATAAAATTTACTGGCTTCCTTTGAAACATAAGCACCCTTGAAATATTAGACGGACTTCCAGTCAGGAAATTCATTGCACTCACCATCCGCAGAACAGGACTTTAGAGTCACTTTCTCACTATTCCAGCCAGACAGGTACAGATACACACACACACACACACACACACACACACACACACACACACACACACGCGCGCGCGCGCGCTGGGGTCTGTACTCCTTAGCAACAAAAACAAGCCCCAATAACCGATCAGGACAGAAGTCTCCACACTGATAGCAGATAGCAATCTCTGTCCAGGTGACCTGATCCTCCCATCACAGGGGATTGACCACTGCTTAAAACAAGCCCCTCTAAGACACTTTCTGAAGCTTTCTGGCTGTGAGGTGGCTAGGGAGTGAGCGAAAGAGAAAACAGAGGAGGGGCTTTGGTGTGTGATGTGCTCTAGTTCAGATCCACTAACTCTGGATCTTAGACGCCAGCTTCCTGAGGGGACTGAGAGCCAGTGGCCTCTGCAAGACCCCCAGTTCCTACCCAGGTCCAGTTCAAATTCTTTTGGCTGCGCATACACAAGGAACATGATTGGACATGCTGAGAGCACTTTCAACATGTGTTCCTTTGCTCTCGCCTACATTGGAGATTTAGGAAAGTTGGGGGTCTAGCTGGGAGGAAGTGCAATTCCTTTTCCTTGTTGGGGAGTTATGGCTCTTTTTCCGCTTTCTCGTGCCTACGGCCTTCCTCATGATCAGTTTGTGACAGTTGACTTCTTAGGGAGGAGAGAGACTTCAAACACTCCTCTCCTTATTTCCTATTGCTTGAGGTCTCACAGGGATGTATGTATGTGGACCACTGACATCAAAATATAAGAAAGAAAATGTCTGTTTCAGCTTCAGTCACCAGACAGCCTTTAAGCAGCCTCCTTTCTCACCTCCAGGGATCACGAAGGCATAATTAGAGAGCTCTACCAGATCAAGACCTCTGGCTGCAGGTCCCTGAGTGGTGCTGGGCGACACCATGCTGGTATATATTTCCCTGAGGTGAGGGTTCTATCCAGGTGTGTTGCTTTCCCTCCACAGGAGAGGGCACCCAGAAACTTTGCGTCTCCTTGGTTACCCATATACCTGGTAAGAGACCTAATAGGAAAATGCCACACGTGTTTTCCTGACTATGGGAAAATGTGCTAGTTGGGTCTCCGAAGCTAGTTGGGTCTCCACCTAGTAAAATTCAGAATAAACAAGTCAAACTCAGTGCTCAGAACATTTCGCTTCAGCTGTCTTGGGCTTGGAACATGCATACACCGATTTTCAATCGTGTAGTGGAAGAAGTGGGCTTAGACCAGATGCCCTCCCTCTGTCTTTGTTTGTGTGAACCATCAGTTGCTTCTCCTAGTTCAAGGGATTCTTCTGAAAATGTCTGTGCTGCTCCTGGGCTGCTTTGCCCTAGTGTGCACATCTATCACTCTCCAGGGAATTGTGATGAGTCAGAAAAACTGATCATGCATACAGTAACAGTGAAGCATATCTTAGCTGGACCAGCCTTGGTGCTGTCTTCTAGCTCTTATAGACAGAGGACGGGGACAGAATTTTTTTAGAGCAAGTCTGGCAGAGCAGATGCATACAAATGAATTCTGATGCCTCTCAGAGTGTTGACTTCTGGGGTTATGTTTACCATCTTCCCACTGATGTTTCTATGCCACAGAAACATTTCTTTGACATTGTTCCTAGTCCTTAAACTGGGCTATTACTAGCTATTGAGCTCCCCACCCCACCCCGAGGAATACACGCTCATAATAGAAAACTAGGGTGGGAAAGCGTGCAAAAGACTGAGAGACGGATCATAATCCCATCACTATGAGGTCCCTACAGTGGGGCCAATGATGATGGCCAGAACCTCAGAACCTCTTCACTGAGTGGTTGTCATTGGGGGAATAAATGAGGCCAGCAGAACATGGCATGGCCACAGAACTGTGATTGTCATCAGTGATTCTGTGTTCTTGGCAGCAACAACACAAGCCATAGGGACAGCAAGGAGGCCTTTGAAAGCTCAGGCCAGAACTAAAGATTACTATTTAGGGATTCTCTGTCCGTCTGTCTGTCTCTTTCTCTGTCTGTCTCTCTACCTATCTATCTACCATCTATCCCTCTTCTCCCTATCTCCCTCCCTCCCTGCTCTTATTCTTTTTTTTTTCAGGTGCCATCTCAATCTAATCATGGGTACAAGCTCACTAATTAAGCTACACTTGTATAACATAGTGATGACTGTACATTTCATTCTGCTCTGGACTAAATGATTTGTGACGCTGGGCACTGTGTCTTCTCCATACTTGAACTTCCTCATGTACAAAATGAGGATGATGATAACGTTTTACCTCATGGTATATTAAGGGTGACAAGAAATTGCAAAGCGATTTGCAAACATAAAGTGTCTATGAATTATGCACTGTTCAAATTACCCATTAGCGGCAGCACAGCCACTCAAATGGAGTGGTTTCACCCAGGCTCTGCCAAGACAGATAAGGTAGAGAGAGAGGGGCCATCTTGGTTGAGAACTGGAATGTAGCTGTCCAACTGAAGCACGTGGGGTTCGCTCCTTCCTTCAAGCCCTCCAGAGGAATTGACTCCTCCTTATTTTTCAGCCAGTGCCAGACTCACTTTCTTCCCTCCAAGGCCAGTTTTACAAAGTGTGCTCTCATTCCTGTTGCTTATGACCAGATGTGATGGAACGAGGAGACCATGTGGAGGCTAAGGGCGTAGATGGCTATAAGAGTTCACCTCTAAAGCAGGCATGGAGTTACTGCTGTTTGTTTGCTTTAACAGCTCTATGATCATTCCTAGCTGCGCATGCTCATGTTGGGAGAAAGCCAGATTCTTCAAGCTTTTAGAGTTCTCTCATGTTTAGGGTGAGGATAAGTATAATAGAGTGAGAGCCCACTTCCTCTTGTCAGGCTGCAAAGCTAATGACTTCATCGGTAGCCGATGGGTTCTGAGTGTGTATCCAGTCGGGACATTTCCCAGTATGATCTTGCTTGGATCCTAGATTCTAAAAGGGGGAAAAAAACAAATTCCCCAAGAGAATCTCCATGCTTTTCTTCTTCCTTGCATACACTGATGGTCTCTACCAGAGAATAACAAGTCCTTGCTCTGATATGACTAGAGACCAACCAATAATAATAAGGGTAATGGCACATCTACAAGGGTGGCTTGTTCAGAGCCAAGAAACAGAAAACTGGGCCCCAACCTAAGACTTACCCAGCTACAGCTCAGCCTGGCATCTCCCTGACACATGCCAGCCTTCTGTTCTTCATGCCGAAGGCCTGTTGTGACTCCCTAGGGAAACAATCTCGTGTCCCCCATTTCTCTCCCCTGCACCCCAGGCTTTTTCTTTCCTCTCTAGGTGGCCCGTAGGCCCACTCTCATTTGTATGTGCCAGTATGTCTGTGTCGTGAGTGTGATGATGCCTTCACACAGAGATGTCACAGAACCACTCTTGAGCCCCTTCCCTGCCCCACCCCACTGCCCACGGTGTGACTGTTTTGCTATTCAAGACTATCTGTAAAAATGTACAAATAAAAGTGAAAGCTGAAAATAAAGGGGAGGGGTACTGCAACTACTCAAATGCTGTAAGGGAGCCCTCAGTTTTCGGAGGGCTTGTGAGGACTTCCCTAGAATCCTGACTCTGATGGCACTTCCTGTCACAGGATAATTTTCTGGTGGTTGTTCATGCTTGCTTGTCGCTCTCTGTTCTGAGGACATTTGCCTTTAAAGTTAAGTTGCTTTCCCCCCCCCCAAATAAAAGCATATCATCAAAGTTAGAAGAGTGAAGGTCATGGCTGACGTCAACCCAAAGACCAGACCTGGGGTGACATTGGGAACTTCCTTTATAGCTCACCTGGAACCTTGGGTGAATCTTGTGACCTCACCATGTATCCATGTCCTCTCAGCCTCACAGGGAGCAGAGTAACTTTGGGGACTCATGGGACACCAAGTCTCCCCCATCCATTCTGCTGCTATTTGTGTTCATGCTGGCTGTTGCAAGCTGACTGAGCTGAGGCAAATCAGGAGATGCTTTCTCCCTGTTGCTCTTAGCTCAAGCTGATATCCCTCAGAAAGTAACCTCAAGCCAGCAGCCAGCCTGTGCACAGACAGAGTCCAAAGCCTTTTATCTACCTTTCCAGTCTCAGATGCCTTTTCCCACCCACTTTGATGGTCTATCTTGCTCTCTCTGCTGGCAGAACTTTGCCTCATAGGACTGGGGTAGGAGAAAAAGCACCAAAGGAGATGATGTGAGGGAATTGCTTTAGCAATGGTGGCTTGCTCTACAAATGTGACTTACTGCATGTAGAAGCAGAGCCTGGCCAGGGGACACTAGGAAATGGGAAGAAAAAAAAAAGGTGTTTTAGGGCTGGGGTAGAGGCTGTGAGTAGAACATGTGGTTAGATAAACTTAGAGCTTAATGGGAACTTTGGGATGAAGGAATTTCTGTGCTTCCAAAATCCCCTCAGCAGAATGGCAGAGAAATATCTCGAAGGCAGTAATCCTGGAGTGCGAGGGATTAGGATAGCACAGGGCATGGATAATCAATCTGGAGTACAAGTGGCTGCCAGAGAAAAGCAGTTTTTCCAGAGGGATAAACAAAGCTGGCCTGTGCCAACTTCCCCTCCACTCATGGTTATAGGCACAGTCTACAACTCCCTCATCCCTGATGGACCTTGGTGACCCTCTTTGAGACTTGTACAGGGAAGGTGATTTAGACCACTGTTGTCCAATAAAATTTGATACAAGATGTGTATGCAATTCGAAATATCTCACTAGTTGCATTTTGAAGCGTTGAAAAAACAGGTGAAATTAATTTCGATACAATATTTTAACCCAGCATATATAAAAATATTAGCATTTCAACATGGCATCAATAGAAACGTTACTGGCCATGGTTTATGTTCTGGTTATTTCAAATGAAATCTAAGTCCAAGGTGAATTTTACCCGGAAGCATCTCCAACTGGCTCAGCCACATTTTTAGTCCTCAAATACTGAATCAGGCTTCTGGTAACCAACCGGCTAGGAGAACACAGCGTCAGGTCCTTTCAGAGGCCAAGCAGGATGCCCTGGCCAGCCAGTCACTCGCTGTTGTGGATTTCATTGTGGGGAACAAAGGCAAAGGCTGATTTGCTGAATAGGAAGCAGAGCTGTCTCACCTTTGGAAGTTCTACTTTGCCTCCTCAGCAAGGGGAGAGAGCTTCTATGAACCAAGCACATGCCATGTCTGCCCCAAGAGGCATTAGTGCTATCCCTGGACATGGCCCTGATGACCTGTCAGAATCAGGAAAAGCAGGCCACGCCCTTCAGCGATAGGAGCATCACCTACCACCCACGCATCCATACCGATGTCTCTCATCTCATCAGTGATAGGCAGGCCTCCCCGTTGTTAAGAACACACATCTCTCCTACCTCTTAACATCTGGCAGAGTCTCCTGCTAAAAACATCTCACCGATACTTGGAGCTGTTTAATTCACCCTCCAACTTCTTTGATTTTTCTTTCCAAATCTTGAATGCTGACAAGGAGACATGGGAGGAGAGCAGCAGGCAGACTGTATCTCCTGGGAGGTGGCAGAGACAAGTTCTGTTCTTACACTAGGACTCAGGCCACTGTCTCCTACCTCTCCTTTCTGCTTAGAGATCTTCCTTAGGTCTAAAGAAGCCTCTTCTGTGTGGGAAATTGACAAATAGTGAGATCTTATGGGGCAGAACAGAATAATACAAGCAAGCCCCTGGGCATTCTCCAATCATTTCAAAGAGCCAGACTGATACGGCTTGGTTCACTTAAAATCTAACATTCTGAGCCCTATGCTGCCGAGCAGGAGAAAGGGAGCTGATTTGGTGAGTACATTTTATCTGTGGTCATTAGGCAGGGACCATCGCCAGCAAAAGTCTCAAACACCTGGTGTGTTCATGGTCCGCCAGATTATTGCTCAGTCAATATAAATTTATTTACCTTCACTCTAATTTGCATAGTGCTTTCTGATTGGTTAGACACAGTGTGGTGTATACTGCAGGACTCTAACAACAACTCTCCCCTTGGAGGTAGCAATTCCTGTGGTTATTGGTGCTAAAATAAGATTAAATATTATGTTAATTTGTTCTGATATGATGTGAATAAATGTATTGTTTAATCTTAACAAGAATGCTACATCTTATCAGATCTATTGTACTGTCTGTTTCTTCTCATAATTAATTAATTACAGGAGAGGTGATCCAAACCAGATTTCGAAAACTCTTGTGATATTCTAAAAGGAACTTAACAGGGAAGTGGGAGGGGGGAATGAACGGGGAAATTGCCAGGTTCCTGTGACTTTGAAAGGACTGAGGAAGCAGAGAGCGTTTGGGGACTTCACTGAAACTGACTGCATCTTGCAATTTTCTTTTTCAAATTGGCAGAAATATTGTTATTTCCATCGACTGAAGAAAAAAAAGTGTCTGGTAATTAATTAAATGACTTGTTCATGGAAAAAATAAAAATAAATAATCTGTCAGTTGTGGAATGTAAACTGATTAAATAATTAAATAAAGAAGACCATGTTGTGTGTTTTAAGAGGCTGTGTCTGCTCTCTGTTTGGGGGGGTGGGAGTGGGGAGGGTGCAGGCTGCAGGCTGCAGTAGTTCACGGAGAATGGTGTTGTTCCCTGGGGTTGTGTAGAGAAATAAATTGTATGATTCTTACACAGCTAGTTGAAAACTCTAATCCAGAAGGAAACTGCCAATGGACATTTCAATAATGTGCCAGCCAAAGGTCTATGCTTCGAGCATTAGGGAAGAGACAAAAATGTGCAGACAGATTGAAAGAGAAAAGAGAAGGAATTTGTTCTTTTTTTCCCATCCCAGACATTAAGAACAAGAAGTTTAAAGGCTTCATGAGATGTTACATTCTAGCCCCTTGACCAATTTCCTAGCTGCCAGTGAAGGGGGAAGCTTCTTAGTCTTCCCTAGCTTGGTCCCTAACTTAAAGCTGCATTTCCTTTCTATCCACCTTCTGGAACATGCATCACGAGGAAATCTGGGAGAAAGAAAAGTTAACTGGAGGTGAGTGCTTTTAAAATGAGTCTTATTTCTCCATCAGTATCCCTAGGTTTAAAGGGTGGAAACTGGCTTTGTATGATATAAGTGGAAAATGAGTTTCCTAAAAAGACATGGCTAGGTAGAACCTGGGTAGCCAGACTCCCATCCTGGTGTCATCTGGACCACTGGGATACAGTTGTTGGACTCCAGACTTCCCAGATTGAGCTGCTATTCTTCCTGCTTCTTCTGCCCTGGGGATGCATGACTACCCATCCCCACCTCCTCTAGAAGGAGAACCCATGACACTGCTTTGTGAAGATGGTAGCTTTTAATTTATAATCCCAGGTGAGCACACCACAGAAAGAAGGTAGGGAAAGCACAGATCCCATTCAGCTTCTTTTTAGGTGGTTAGGTCACAGTCATTCAAACCCTTCAAGTAGACTATTCCTCGGATATGGCTCCTACATGGCCAAAGAGGGAAAGGTGCCCCTTAGAGTGGGGTACTGCAGGGAGAGGAAGGATTCCTGAGTGAGAGGTACCTCACTGTGTCTCTGTTGCACACGCAGAGTGCCCATATGGCTAGGAGCCGAATCATGACCTTTGTGACAGCAGCCGTAGCTAGACGATCCTGTGAGGAGGGAGGTGTGTTCAACCTGAACACTGTGAGAGACTCAGGATTGCTCACTGCATTGCTGCATGCTTCTAGTCTGATTTAAAAAAGAAGAAGCAGCTATGGATTTTTGTTTCTAAAGAAGACATCTTGAGGGTAATAAAAATAAACAGAAAAAAAAACCATTTCAAAAATAAATGCTCGTCAGAGGCGGGTGGTGTGTCACAGATTCTGGGAAGGCATCCTGAGTGCAGAAACAGCTGAAGGAAATCATGGGCCAGATTCCCAAGAGGCATTCCCACTAACTCATCATAGACAGGATGGATGTCCCTTGAAAGATAGACAAACGTGAAGAGAGCTCAAGTGAACATCTCTGTGGGAAGGCAGGTGGGATTTAAAGGCCTCTTCCCCACTGGGCAGAGGCGACAGGACAGGAACCTGCATCTACCAGATCCTATGACTTCAATGTGGCAGGATTCTGACCTGAGGCTGTGTGGCATCTTCAGCGTCTACCTGAGGCAGAATAGTCCAGGCAGTGCCTAGTAGACTGCCCAGGGGAAGCCTCAAAGAGCATGACACTGTTCTCCTTCTTTTTCCAATAAAACACAACTTTGATTTCTGTGTCTGGGATGAATTATGCAGCCCTCTGGGTTCAGGAGAGAACGGGGTTTGGAGAAGATGCACCTAACCCCGCCCCCATCACCTGAGTGCCAGCGCCTCTGGGCATACATATCCATATGGTGAGCGCTGTTAAATCTTTGCAGAAAGGCAGCTCCAACATCGATAACCAAGTTACAGAATACTAAGGGTGGCCCCTGGAGAGGCACTCTAGGAAAACAGTCCTTCCCTGAATGTTACTCTCTAAGCCCCTTCCCCAGCCTCATAACACTATGTTGTGTCTTGCAGTAGTTAGAACTGGTGGGTGAAAGGACTCTCTTAATGAGAAGGGATGCGAGCCTCTGTCATACTCTGGTGTGATGATGCTTGGTGTATGGTAAGCGCTCAGAAGATACCCACCTGAAAACCACCAATCTTCCATCATCTACCCACCCAAGCTGCTCTTCAGTGTTGAACCTTTTAAGCATTTCTCTGGGAATCCCCCAGCCACCCTCTGGTTCCGTGATTTGCTTGAAGGATACAGATTCAAATTAGCAGGAATCAAAGACAAGCAGGAGAGAGTTCAGGAGGGCCCAGATGCCCGCTTCAGCAGCTTCCCCCAGTAGATCTGTACAAACAGCATTTAATTCTCACAGCAGGGCTTCGTGACAACATCCAGAAAGAGCTGGCAACCACAGAGCATTAGCCAAGCTTCTGGGGAGTTTAGAGTGTTCACCCGGGTAAACTTGTTGCCTGACTTAATTATTTTTCTTACTGCTGTGACGAAGGTAACTTGAGGAAGGAACAGTTGGTGAAGGGAAGACACAGAGGCAGGACTACGACGGAGCTGGTCCCATTTCATCCACAGTCACTGAGCCAAGAAATGAACAACAGTGCCCAACTCACTTTCTCTGTTTTATTCGCTATGCTTCCCAGGACTCCCACATTCAGAGTGGGTCTTCCCTGCACTGTCGAGCCTTTCTGGAAACACCTTCATAGACACACCCAGAGGTATGTTTCCATGGTGATTCTGATAATGAATATTAATCATCAATGTTACATGGTCTCTAGCCCTATGAATTTAGTTACTTTCCTGTTACTCTAATAAAAGTCAACCTATGAGAGAAAGGCTTATTGTTCCGGAGGAATGGAGTCCATCACGGTGAGGAGGCATGACAGCAAGAACCAGGCGTGATGGCAGGAGCAGGAAGTTGAGAGATCACATCTAAAGCAGCAAACACAAAGAAGAGAGCGAGGGGGCTGGAAGCAGGATGAGACTATAAACTCTCAAAACCTGCCTCCAACGATACACTTCCTGCAGCAAGGCTGTGCAGCTTTTAAGAGATACTAGTTTAAAAATAATAGCTTAGTGAGTATGCTGAAAGTGTCACCTATATGGGGCCTGGGGGTAAAGGGAACTTGGATTTAATCAGCATGTGCTGTATGGAGGCCACCTAGAACTCCATCCACATGTACATTAATGCATGTTAGTCAAAAGTAAAAAAAAAAAAAATTTAAAAAAAACCTTGGTTTATGTGGTGGCTTGAATGAGAATGGCCCCCATAGGCTCATACACTTGCATGCTTAGTCCCTATTTGGTGAACCTGTTTGGGAAGGATTAGGAGGTGTGGCCTTGTTGGAGTAGGTGTGGCCTTGTTGAGGGAGCTGCCTGAGCCTATAGGGAATATTCTCATTCAAGCCACCATGCCGAGCCAGAGGCAAAACTGGTAACACATAGTCAATGTCTCTACACTCCATAGGACATTGCATAAATGATCTCTGATGACTCAAGATAAGCCAGGTAAAGGAAAGCATTGTCCTCAGATGGGACATCCCAAGGGCCTAGCGGTTGTTTCCCAGGAGCCAACCAAAGGCTAGGCCTTTTTATTGAAATCAGCCTTTTACTGCACACTAAGCTATGAGATAAGTTAGAACAACAACAAAAACCGTATTTCTTGTCCCTGTTAAAGCTCATCATCAGGTATTCAAATTCCTTCTTTTTTGTCTGCTACAGACCAACCTCTCCTTGGCCTTCTTGATGGACCAATAGCTTGAAGTTCTTTGTCTGGGTGTCTCCTTTCTGTCTGCTTCTTCTCGGGCGGCTCCCTGGACCTTCGCAGGATGCTGGAGTAGAACGGATATGCAAAGAGCACAGATGCACAAGCCTTTTAGCAGATCTGAATTGGAACTCCTCTCCATACATGCTGGGTCACGCAGCCTCCTTAACCTCTGTCCTTATAGAATGGGTACAGCAATACCTACCTTCCAGAATACCTTAGAAAAGGGAAGAGTCAATGAAGATATGAGATGTAAGAGAATACTTGGCCCAGAAGAGCTTCTCAGCACCATCCAGCCTTCTGCTACCTCTCTGGGCTATGCACCCTTTTTCTTTATTGTGCAAATGCTAAGAAGACTTTCTGAACGGAAATTTGCTCACTGTTCAGCACTCCACAGGTACCACTTTCTCACCACATCAGAAGCTGATACACTGGGGTTGTAGAAATGGCTCAGCAATTAGGAGCACTTATTTTCTGCTCTTGCAGAGGACTCAGGCTTAGTTTCCAGAACTCACACCAGGCAGCTCCTAACCACTTGCAGCTGTGGTTCCAGAGGCTGTGACACCCTTTTTTAGCCTCTATGCATACTCATACATACACATATGGTGCACGTAAAATCATGCAGGCACACACACACACACACACACACACACACACACACAAAACGGTCTTTTCAAAAGGCTGACATACAGGGGATAGATGGATAATTTAAGTGCAGACATATTTTACTATAACCAGCCATTGAAGTCTTTGCAACTATCCTATACAGGCTATAAAGTATGTGCCCTATACATTATTATCCAATGATGTATAATAAATATGTTCTGAATTGTTTTTAATCCAGGAGAGAAAAAGGTTGGTATTGAAAGCTATCTTCCCCTATGTAGAGGTCATCCTTTTCTTGGCGTGACAGAAATGTTCTAGGGCCTTGCTCCTGTAAGAGTGTTCTCAGCCAGCTCATTAGCACCGTGAGGGAATTCACTAGCAGTGAGAATCTCAGGCCAACCTCAGATCTCTAGAACTAGAACTTTCATTTCACCATAGTGCTGGGTGTCTGGTGTCTGGTATACACTGGTGTGGGACACTCAACTGCTACATGTGTGTTCTAAAATTTTAAGGTCCTGTCCTTTCCATGGCATCAAGACCATAGCAGGTTTTCAAAGGCTAATGAAAAATAAAAAAATCCCAGTCTGAGGTTTCAAAGCCCTACCAGACTGTTTTAATCACTGTCCGTTTGCTATGAAGAGACACCATGACCAAGGCAACTCTTATA